GATATTCTAGCAATCATTTTCATTTTCCAATAAAATTATTTTGATTATCGAACAAAAATTATTTTCTGATCTGGATTGTTCTTTCCGTGTGTGAATTCTCCCTTAAACGCTCGAATTTTTATGTAGCGTTGCGTGCGACATCGACTTTTATCAGGAGATCTGATGAAATTCTGCGACAGTAATAATTGACAATTGAGACATGTTCAAATGTAAAGGCGGATACAGACTTGTTACGTATCAATGTAGACGGAGAGTATTGCACCGTCTTAAACTTGTGATACAATGATATATGCAAAGGAGGGGGGGGGGGGCATTGTGTCATATCATTGAATTGATACGCACGATGATACGATACGCGAATACGCAACAAGTCTGTCATTCGTCTTAAGTGGTAGCTCGCGCTCGTTCTTTGCTCAATTGCTATTGATATGGCGATCGCTTGTCTAATCCCTTAACACGTTATTTGTCCAGCGAGTTTTGTATGTCTTTTACTTCGCAGGATGTAATAGAACTGTTATTATTATATCACATAAAAATATAATATGATTAAGTGAGAATGTATTCTCATAAGTAAAGTATGTACGTGCTGAATTATGCACTTTATATTTTACACTATTATCCAGTTATTTAAAATCTGTCATTTATTTTATATTATAAATGACATTTTTATAAACGTATTTAAAAAAAATTTCGATAACGCGCTATACACCAGTGATTACCAAGACGCCAATGAAAAGTCAAGCACCAGTCAACGTTAACTTGACATCGCATTGCCGCCTATTATATCTATCATATTCTCGCCTGATTTATTTATTTCGCAGACGGGAGGAGACATTCGCGGAATTATCAATCGTCAGAGACATTCTTCGAAAACTAGATAATTGCTATTGATGTGACAATCGCTTGTCTAATCCCTTAACATTTTATTTGTCCAGCGAGTTTTGTATGTCTTTTACTTCGCAGGATGTAATAGAACTGTTATTATATCACATAAAAATATAATATGATTAAATGAGAATGTATTCCCGTGAGTAAAGTATATATACGTGCACTTGAATTGTGCATTTTATATTTTACACTATTATCCAGTTATTTAAAATCTGTCATTCATTTTATATTATAAATGATATTTTTATAAAGGTATTTAAAAAAAACTTCGATAACGCGCCATTTCGATAGCACACCAGTGATTACCAAGATGTCAATGAAAAGTCAAGCGCCGATCGGCGCTCAACGTGTTAACTTGACACCGCCTATTATATCTACCACATTCTCGACTGATTTATTTATTTCGCGGACGGGAGGAGACATTCGCGGAATTATCAATCGTGAGAGACATTCTTCGAAAAAGTGCAGATAAGCGCTTATATGAGTAACGTTCAACAACAACAGAAATGAAAGAAAAGGAAAAGCAATGTAAACGCAGCGCCGCAGATAGGTTAAAGATTTATTCCGCATAGATTGCAAATTGCATAACGCCCACGTAAACATATATGCCCATAAAAATCGATCGATCACGCATCTTCCGCATTATTAGTGCGGCGTCGAGTCGCTTCAGCTGTGCAGACGATTACGCCGCTACGTCGAGATAATGAATCTCGAAGTGGACGCTATATATGTATATGCTGGCGAAAATGCATACCAAGGGAAATACACCAAAACAATGTCATTTACATCTTTGATCCTTTCCACCGCGCTTGTGCGGGGAATATCAGAGATATGAATCACCGAGCATCGAGCGTTATCTTGATGCTCACTAATATCTTCAACGATGGTAATTCCCAGAATGTTTATTACCATATTTGCATATATTAGTGCTCTCCTCTCTGGCACGAATATAATAAGCAGCGTTTTAAAAGAGCGCTGCTCGCTCTTCTCACGGCCAGCACACGTCGGTCAAACTGTAAAATACTCCGACTTCGGCACAAATGTTTGCTTAAACGGCATACGCCCAGAATCGCTTTTACAGCCGCTAAAAAAATTTTCCAGTGCGCTTTTAAACAGACGCACGTTAAGTAGCCGCCGCCGGACGACGACGAGAGAAAAGAAAAAAACATCGCCGCGGCGAACTATACGCTGCATTTCGCCGGAGGGCGACCGTTATATTCATATTAGCGGTAATCGATGCAAAAATCAACGTTCATTGCGGCGCGCGCGCTCTCCCTGATCGTTCATTTTATCCGGTTCGTAATCAGGGCAAGATCGAGGATATCGGCTCGAAGATGGTATTTTAACGACGCGACGCGACGCACCGCGCCGCGCCCTTTTGAGGAAAATCTGCGCAGTTCGAGTACGGCGGATTCACGGCGAAGAGACGCGACACACGTCGGGGATTACACAAAGAGCGCGATCCCGCCTTATTACCCGGCGTCCGTGCGTGTGTGACGTCGGCTCGTGATCGGGTTCATCAGCGCGCGGGTAATACACACATCCACGACGACGACGACGACGACGGCGACGACTTTGCTAAAGTCGGGTGAAATAATTGCTCATCGATCGCGCGCGGCTTTATACGCAGGTGCGAATTTAATAATACGCCTACTGCCGCCTGCGGAACCCATATTGACGTGAGACCTTCGCGCGGCTCTCGCTTTAACGCCGTTTTTCCTCCCCCCCCCCGTCTCCACCGAGTGTAACGCGGAAGAAACTTTACACCCTCAGACACCGGACCTCGCGGCGGAGCAAGACGAAACTTCTACCTTCTACTACACGCGATGTAAATACAGTTAACGCTGTTAAATTACCGTAAAATCGCCGGCGGGGCAGGACGGACGCCCCCGTCAAGAATGTCAAACAAACTGTAATTGACTCGCGCGATATGGAAGGAAAAAAACCTTGAAATCAGGTGCGATTTTTCAGCGAAAATATTGTAGAATTAAGAAATACGACGTGCTTGACGAGTGATAAATCTCATCCCTTGCAAATTTATCTCTCGTAAAATCCATGTACTTTGTTCCATGTATAAACGTGCAACAAGAGAATTTTTTAATATTACGTACACGAGTTTGTAAGCTTAAATTACGAAGCACATAAATGTAAAAATGTAATCCAATGTTTTCGCTAAAATTTTATAGCAAGTCAACTGAGAGTTGCAGTTTTTCAATTTTCAATATTGAGTATATATTGCAACGAATTATCGGAGCATATTTGAGCTAAAGTACAGTTAAATTAATTATTAAAAATCACGGTTCCGGTATGCTAATGTTCCGCTGACATTTACGTAAAATTCTTCGACATCTAAAATTTTCCCGCAATGCTCCGACATCAAAACAATTTTTTAAATAATCATAACCTTCTGTTAACCAGTTTTTAACTATTTTTTTAAGAATCACTAATATAAAAAGATAAATTTGGGATAAACAATTTACGCAGTTCCTAACTAATGTTTAACTTTTTTTTTTAATAATCGCAGACTAGAACGTATAATGCACACATAAAGCGCAGTCTTTCTGTCGGAGCGATGCGTGACGAACAAGCAGGTGTAAGCGAATACAATCTTGCTTCTGTGTGCAGCACTTGTTGCGTGAGAAAAAAAAGTATTTTGATACGAATCTTATACTGTGAATTTTTTAAGAGGCGTTATTATACTCTTAGAATCCGCGCGATCTTGCAATAAGCATGAAATATCGTACGATTATTTATTGCGTTATTATTGTTTTCAATCGGCAATAATAGCAATACATTTATCATGTGTTTACAGTATGAAATCAGTATCGGTCACTTGAAAGATACTGACGCTTTGATAACGTCCATGCAATTAACTCAATTATTTCAAAATTACTTCAAAAGAGAACGAATATTTTATCCTATTTTTTTTCTTCCATTATGTTACGTAATTAAAAAAAAAATTCTGTAATCTTCTTTACATATTCTTTACAAAAGTTATCATTAACAAGCATTTTTTACAAATAACTAGAAAGATGTCACGTTATCAGGAAACCTTAACTCTGACAACATAAATCATCGATATACGCAACGCTAATAATTACATTATCATTACGTTCCTTCAATATTGCTAGTGAATTTCACGCAATGACACGTATTGAAATTCACAGCGTCACAATTTAAGAAACCTCGACCGCAACTTTCGATGCAATGCTCATTTAGTGCGCGTGAAATCATAGGAACGATACGGAGAGCCACGCGGAAATGATAAGTCTACCTCGAATAGAGGATACAAACAGCACGATAAATATCTAAGGTCATCAGCTGGTTGTGTTCGGAATGTGAATGGGGATACAGATTGTCTGCAAGAATGTCTGGCTTTTGAAGCACCGCCTGATGCTGGGAACTATTGAGATAGGCCTTGATGTACTTGAAAACTACGCTTTAGAAAACGTAATATAATTTCAGTTACGTGACAATCTGATGACAATTATACAGAGTGAACTTTGAGTTCAATTTCATTTACCATATCAATACATTTCCGCATGACTATGTTGTATAATAAAAACGTAAACAGGTTTCACGTTTGCGCATAAAAAAGGTTAAATTTCAGAAAAAATTCTTTGAAAATCTATTAAAAATTGTCTTGATTTTTACAATATTTACTATTTATAACATATACATGATGAATTGTGTCAGCAATTCCATTTCATTCGCCACGAAACGTATATTTTTAATTGAAACTCTTCTTTAACTAAAAGCGCGCGCGCGAGAGAGAGAGAGTGCTATTGAAACGTTGTCATCGATTGCATACGATTCGCTGCAGCTGAACGCGGTCTGAAATTTCTTTGATGTTTCCCTCCGCGTATGCGTAAATGTATGTCCGGGCACTCTTCTCGGAGGAGTAAACATCAAACAAAAGTTTGCCGCCGTCGTTTTCTCGCGCACGAAGAGGCCGAAGTATGAAAATACTCTCCACAGCGCGTAGATTGTGGAGACGCTAAAGAAGTTGTCATCGCGTCGCGAAACGCGATTAAATGACAGCCGACGACGCGCTCTCCTCCGAGACAGTTAATTCCTTTAAATTCTATTTTTTCCCCGTGTCTCTCACTTACCCCAACGTGGAAAGAAACCCGGACACATTTCCCTCGGCGTACAGGCTGACAATGTCGCCGAGGTGAAGGAAACTCGCGGATCCTAGAAGCTCGCCCATCTCGGATCGGTCCTCAGAGTCTCTCTCGGTGCCTCGAAATCGGAGAAACTCCCGCTGCTGGCCGCTTTAGCCGAGTGAATTATTCATGGCCACACCTGGGGGAAGAAATAAACAATCGTTAGAGAAAATCGAAGGGGGCACAAACATTCTACAAATAATCGGGATAGCTTCCGATCGGATAATCCGTTATTCGAGAAAAACATACATATGCGACTATACGGATGACGTTTCTTTCCTTTTTATCATTTTACAACAATAATACCTATATAATAATCGATGAGACAGAATCTTAAATGTTAAATTGGCAATGTTATTTTGATGCACTTCTGAAATTGCAGGGAATTGTTTATAAATTCCGTATAAATTTGAAAATTCGTATTAAAGATATTAATTAATATAAATTATATATAAATGCAATACGATAGAAAAATATATATTTAGAAAATATATAATATTTATTAAAATATATATGTCTATTGTTATCATATGTTCTAAAGTGTTTTCGTCAGCGCAAAGAAGTAATTTAGCAAGCTTTCGGATTGCATGCTCAAAGGATATTTTTGTACAATATAAACCTTCGGCCATTGTTTGCTCAAGAAACGCACATCATGCAGTTCGAAGAATAAGGTACGAGAATAAGACTTATCATAACGCGAATTCCAAAAATGCAACAATAAACATGGTGCGCTCTGTAAACGGAACGTCTAAATATTTTTCTAACGCTCGCCTAACACTAGTAAATCCAATCTCTTATCTCGCAAGCTGCACACTTTCGCGGCGCCCACTCCAATCGTCATCGAATGCGTCGACATAAAAAATTTACGAATATATTCCTTTGTGGAGTGTTATAGAAATTATTTTGGACGCAGAGATACGGCGTGCTCGCTGCGCGGCGTACAGGCTCAATCGGCGAACGAGACTTAATTGCTCAGTGGTGCCATCGCAAATTGCTAGATGAAGTTATCTATCTAATAGATCGGAGACGACGCCGTAACCGGGTCGTGAGATTTTTCCTCTCTCGTTCGACGCGAAATTCCACGCAACAATCTCAATTGCACGAGATATTACTCGAAGTTTGTTACGCGCGGCAATTAGAAGCTATTTTGTTTCCGGCTGTAATAAACGTCTCTACAATCGTACTAATTTCCCTCGCACGTATACGTGATTCTGTTTATGGAAAATATTGAATTTTAAATTTGTAGCATAAAAGCGAGCTTTCCATCAAATACACATAATAAATCGGAATCGTGTCATGCGGCAATAAATAGAGATTTTAACACAGCGGCTTCCCCGCGATTGCAAGATTTTTAATTAAATTACTTAAAAGATCAAATCCTCTCAATTTGACCGCGCGAAAAGATAAGATACCGCGTTACGTGCTGTACAGCGAGAGAAAGCCTATCGGCCGCACGATCGGTCGTCATCTGGAAAATTAATCTACCGACAAATCGCGATACGGCTTTGCGATAAATTGATTTGTTTTAATCGAGTATACACGAACGAAGGCAGACTCTGTCCGAGCTTTACTCTTTAAATTAAATTGACCCTTAACCTTCGCGTCGCCACATAAACAACCATAACCGTGGGCACCACCGTTGATCAGGTCAGGTTCACTTTTACGGAAGAAATCGATAAAACGAGTTCTGATACCAACAACCGTTCGACACGGCCATTCGACATGAAAATACAATCTGGATATCACAGGCAAACAAGAACGTATCAGGTTTTAAAAGATTAATGGGTACCTAATTGATTTCTAATTAAAGTTATATTTGTACTAGATATCGCACTTATTTTCACATTGATTACATAATTTATATTGTCAGGAAGTAAAATATATCGAGAACACTGATTTTTACATGTAACTTAAAACGACTAAAAACGCGTTTTTTTTCTAGCCGAAATTACAAAATAGTCGATAGAAATGTGCATCGTATTTAAAAGACGACATGTACAAATATATTTATCTCTTACAATATATTTATCTCTTACGAAAAACTACCAACTGCCTTTACGTATATCTACAAGCGTTATCTCATTCACAGATGTACAAACGCTCTATTTTTGTACGTCATTCGTTATTATAGAAAAGTCACACAAAAAAGTCATGCGTGTTCCGCTTTTTCTCTCTGCGAGAATTTTAATCATAAAATAAATAAATCCGATCACCCCGGAGGGAAGTTAACGTCACATGCCAAGAAAATTCTTTTATCGTGAGACACGTAATTATATTTATACAATTCACAAATCTGACAGCGTGAATAAAATCATATACTTTTATACACATCAATTTATATTAACATTTTACCAACCAATCTTATACGCAAAAGAAATTAATTTTAGAGAAATTTAATTTTAAAGAAATTAATTAGTTCAAATAAATTCCTGTATACGCGAATACCCTATACGTCCTAGAAATTATCATATTTCTGAGCGCATTATAAGTTGCAGCGAAATGAAGCCAGTAAAATTAGTTTTGCGCCAAAGTAAAGGTCTTAGAAACTTGCCTTAATGAATAATTAACACTTTTTAAGTAGTTCAAAAACGCGAATAATTGAAATTCGTATTTCTTTATTATAAAAACGTTATCTCATTCTAATTATAATCAATATTTATAATCAATTAAAATATCATACATTAAATTAATAATACATTAAACGTTCTATTAAAATATTAAAATCATGTAATGTTTTCAATATATATATAATATCATATATATAATATCAGCTAATACTTAATTGATTACAGAGAATCGTCTATATATATATATATATATATATATATATATATATATATAGGTATGTATACACATGGCGTAAAAATAAAGTTATAATATTACACTGAACATTCTGCGTGTTAAAATATTGTTTAAACAATAGCTGCCACAGACAGATGTTATTACACGTATCGCGTGATGCACGCGAATCTCTTCAACTCCAACACGATATCACGTGTCGCTGTTTGTTTTCAACAGAAATTTCGAAAATGGTAGAAAAGTCTGCTTTTTTCCATTTATTCCTATGTTCGTATAAAAATTCCTATTTTAATATTTTTGAGACCTAGTAGATTTATCATATTTTTGGTTCAAGCAATGATTTAGTTCCAATATTACTGTGCGGTAGTATATTAATATTATGCTATTAATTATTATTAAAATGATTAATTTAAAATAATTTAATAAACCTTCTTTTTTCCCGTTTCGGTTTTCTTTTAATTCGTACATTAAAGTAATTGCGATACTTGATCGATCTTACCGTTAAAATTCTGCAGACGTGTACACATTCCAGTATTAGTTTACTGTGATAATATTATGCTACCAATTATTATTAGAATTACTGATTTAGAGCCATTTATTAAATTTTCTCTCTTCTCCGTCTCGTTTCCTTTCTTTAAATCGCACATTGAAGTAAGTAAGTACGGTATCGATCGGTTCTGCTCTTGAAATTCAACAGGCGTGAACTTTAATTTTTCGTGTTTATACGTGACGCACTGTAAAAATATCAACGGCTGCTTGAATTGCAACAACAACGCAGCGTAAGAGCGAACAAAGACGCTTGCTCCGTCTTGGCGCCGCGCGATGCAGCAGTGCACAGTCGTCGTCGGACAATAAACCAATTGACTATCAATATCGTCTAATGAAGCCGTATCAATGCATAGCAATATGTGAGGGGAGGGAGGGGAGTATGCAATTCTATCTATTCTATATCGCTGTTCACCGAACAAAACGCTGTTATTAAACGACGACATCTAATACGACCCAAACGTATATGTTACGCGACGCGCGCACAGCGCGAGAACAATCATGTAGTTTTTCTTAACGGAGGAGTTCTTGTGACGCTGTAAAAAAAGGTTCCCTAGGATCTTAGTAATGGCACGAAACATCAAGAAAGATAGATTACGGACATAAACTTTCGTTTAGTAGAATCTATAAAAACGCTGACATTAAACCGCCAAGGTTCACTGAAAGAAATCGAACGGCTGTTAAGTATTCCGACGAGTTTTCGACAAAACCCCAACGTGATTACCTAAACGTCGCTGCAGATCGGCGAACCGCGGTCGTGGTACCGACGGCAGCGAGGGAGCAAACACTATGAGAACACGGAAAGAACACTTTTGCTGAATCCAGATCTGAAAATAATTTTTGTTCAATAATCAAAATAATTTTGTGCAAAAGTCAAAATGATTGCTAAAATATCAAAACGTTTTATAACAATGCTTATCAGTTTTAACATTTCAATAAATTATTTTAATGATTTAATAAAAAATTATTTTCAAATCTGTTTTTAGCAAAATTTTTAGATCTTTCAACAAAATTGTTCTTTCCGTGAACCAGTGTACATTTCTTTAGGAATATATTGCTACAGTAAAGAAAACGTTTTTGTATTTATGTTAAAAACGGTCCACTCACGTTAAAATTTTGTGTCGAATTTTTAACATATTTGCTTGTTAAATTAACATAATGGGATTATATTATATAAATATTTTGTGTTGAATTGATATTCAATATTTCAGTGTCAAAATAACACAATTTATAAGTAAGTGAATAAATAGCATAAAAATAAAGTTAGTTTTAAATCGTAAATTCTAAGATAAATAAAAGATAAACTTGTTAATTTTACTTGTTATAAGTGTTGATTTTACCAAAGACTAATGTTTCCACAATTTGTTTCCAAATTATATTAAAGTGTTACATTTTTTGTATTAATTTTTACATAACGTTTGCATTACTTTTTAACATATTCATCTTGCGTTAAGTTAACACAAAAATTTGAGTGGACCGTTTAGGACATGTAAGATGTGTTAATTTAACACAAATTTTTTAACTGTGTAGTATTGCGGCAATACAATATATACTAGCAATATCCTATCAATACATAGCAATACTTCGAGCAATACCTATAGCAATATATTAGCAGTACTTGGCAATATTGTGTAATACATGTGACAGTACATACGATAAAAATGGCAATATTACTGACAATACGAAAGTAATACTAGCAATAAAGTGTGTTATATTGCCATAATTACACAGAGAAAGATGTTTCTTTAGATCTAGAATTCCTATTTATTTGACTGATATTTGTTTCATTGAAAC